TAGATAATAGAAGGTATTAGAGGCACGGTATTGAATAATAAAACCATTGTTGTTTATTTTTAAATTAATATATAATTTTTAATCGTGTGGATCTTTCGGAGGGTCGGAGACTAAAAGTGTACAATATACAATACAAGCGATAGGAATACGATTCTTATTTATTTACTTTTTCTTTCTCATTTTAAAAGGGCGAACTTTCTAAGAAAAATGGGTGAAAACGTACGAGCGATCGGAGCCTCGTTCGTTACTTTTATAAATGCCTTTTTTTTTCTTTTTTTTTTTACAATATACAATAAAATAGGAAGAGAGTCTCCAAAACTAGCGATGATTGTACAATTATAAATGTCAGCTACGATTAAAATTGCTGAAAATGCTCGGACCAAACGCATTCCGAATATCAGGCTCTCAGTGTACTTTGTTCATTTTGTAATCCGTTGGTTCTGCTGTTTCGTCGAGATGTTCAGCATTTTTGATCGATAAACATCGCTAGTTGTGTTCTCGAATGTCGCTACCTTCCACCCTCCATCCCTCCACCCACCCATGCAAACCCCCTCGAATGAAAATAGGACGGCGGTTATCGTCATGATTGTTTCGGCCGATACTAAGACTGCCAAGGAAGAGGGAAGTTTATAACAAGGCCAACTAACGGATGGATAGATAGATAGAGATAGAGGTAGAGGTAGATATAGAGGTAGAGATAGAGGTAGAGGTAGAGGTAGAGGTAGATATAGAGGTAGAGATAGAGGTAGAGATAGAGTATGCAGGGAAGGCTAGAGAGAGAGATAGAGAGAGAGAGAGAGAGAGAGAGAGAAGTGATGGGTGGTGATGGGTCGAGGAGGAGGAGGGGGAGGAGGAGGGCGGAGGAACTGCTATATCGAGAGGCGTTCGACAGGCTGCACCCACACTTTTTACTTGTTTCAAAAGTTTGACGAGACTTGGGCTTCGCGCGCTAATGCCACAAGTTGATGAATTTACAGAGTCGCATAGGAAGTTTTGCTGCGCGATTAGTTCATCCTTCCATCCATTCCATTCAAAAACACAGGCGCCCGCTTTTATAAGAAGATCGTTTAAACCGCAGCGACAGACTTCTCTCATATACTCAAGTAATTTCAAGCGATCGGTATTATCGCATCCAGAATAAATGTGCAGTTTCCTCCGTCGAATCGTTCGAGTCAAATCGTCGCTAGGATTACAAAATGTACAATTTCCTTGTTACAGATCATATATTTGCAATTATTATTATAACAATAAGTGAAAGTGTATGAGCATCGTTTCAAAGCTTATAGGCCTTAAATCTATGAGTTGGATTTTATTTTGACATAACCAAGCGGGCACCGGTTCGATTAATCTTAAATTTCAGATATACAACGTAATAATTATAATTTATGATTATAACTGTAAATTGAACTAATCAATTAATTAAACGAGTAATCGTTATTATTACTTAATCGTGACATATATATATATACATAATTTGTCAGATAATTTTAATGAAACAACAATATGCAAATAGAGGTCTTTTATATTATTGAATGTGCTAACGTGTGCGGTACAAATAGGGCGTAACTGCGCTATTCCGACAGTTCTACAGTTAAACCGGCAAATCATGAAGAAAAGTATGAAAAAAAAGAAAAAGAAAAAAACAAGGATATTAATGAGAGTAAATGGCAAATAAAATATAAGCATTTACATTGGTATATCGAACGACTTATTGCTTTTATGCCCTCGAGAAGACGTTTGTCCTATATGTCATAGTTACAGCTGCTGGCAAAAAGGATGAGATATTGACCGGAGTGCGGACAGATTAGGAATGGCTCAACGAGTCCAGGTCACAGCATCGTTGCGGGGTCAACAGCTTTATAACCTTCCCTCCTCCCCCCCCCCCACCACCGTCATCCACGACTTCGCCACCCGTCCCTCGCTTATAATTTATATAGTTATGTTACACGTGTAATATACAGGTGCAGCTATCGGACTAGCCTAGTTCACTACATCGCTTTTCTTTATTCATTCTCGTTTCGCTCGCAGACATTAATTTCCCGCTTAGCTTTTATCTGTCACGTTTAGCTCGTGTAGCAACGATCGTCGGTCACGGGGGCTGTCAAGGGGGATGGTACGAGGAACGGGGAGCATCGTTACAAACGTTATTGATACCTTTCCTCTCTCTCTCTCTCTCTCTCTCTCTCTCTCTCTCTCTCTCTCTCTATCTATCTATCTATCTATCTATCTATCTATCTATCTATCTATCTCTCTATCTATCTCTCTATCTATCTCTCTATCTCTCTCTATCTCTCTCGTGGGAGCCCGAGGAGACGCGACCACCACGAGCCATCGATAGTCGAGCGTTAGTGCACTAACCGCTCGAACGTTCGCGGATCAATCGATTGGCTACAGTCACACATTTTGCCGGAATCCTTGCACCCACCGCTACGACAAAGTAACTTGGCTTTTCTCTAGATAACGTCTCCCTCATCCCTCATCCCAATCCTCTTCACGGCACGCCCGCCGTGCCATCCCTGTGGATTATTACAATCTTGGCTTTTCGTTGTCCGCTCGCACACATTCGCTCGACTCTTTCACGCGTGCGCATTCACTCGTAAAATTATCTACATCAATTTCTACGCTTTATACAAGTTGTTTTCGAAGTACGTTTCATACGCACTACCCCCACCCCCTCCCCCTGCCTACCTCCCTCCCCCTTCCCAGCATTTATTCCATCTCTTCTTAATCGGACATCCTAGCTACTATAAGATAATCGGATCACAAAAATCGTCCCCCCGAAGTTTTCGTTATCCCTACACATCTTATAACCTCTTCTTGCTCGATTCTCATTTTCATTAATAAAAGTCCAGGTAGACGAGGCCGCGTACCTTTGCAGTTGGTTCGCATCGCGTTTATCTACGTTCGCGCTGGCGTTCCAGTGGCTCTCGCCACTCGCCGAACCTTTCAGCGACGAGGGGATAAGACGAGAAAATAACGAGAAGGAAGTGCGAGCGCGTCGTTCTCGCGTTTTTCATGCTCGTCGATGCTGACTCCCTTTCCGATGCCAGAGTACAGCAATAAATTGATACTCGGTGGTAGTATTGATACCGTTAAATTCAAACAGACGATAATTGCTGGCGCATTAACTTCTGTCCTCGTTTATTTATATCCAAATACAGTTGTAATATCACTAGGGTACATATGTACAGGGACTACGTTTTTGCGGAGATGCGTTTATATTGCAATTGTCGTTTACCATTACAGATTATCCCTTAAAATCTACGTAATCCCAGGTAAAATATTTTTCTGTCTTTGTCTTAGCTTGAAAAGTCGCTTGAATTCGATTAAAATAGTAGCAACATTAACTTTGGATGTTTCAGTTTCCTCGTTACCAATCAACTTGATATTCTCACTCCGTCGACTTTTCGAGCTCTCATCTTTTTTCTCGGAACAAGTTAAGAACTGTACATCGCGCGCATTCCTGTCTCATGTGTTTAATGCGTGTCTGATGTATCTAATGCGTGCCTGTGTGCGTGCGTACTTGCTTGCATCCTCGCTTCCTTCCTTGCTTCCTTCCTCGCTTGCTTGCTTGCTTGCGTGCGTGCGTGCGTGCGTGCGTGCGTGCGTGCGTACGTGCGTGCGTACGTGCGTACGTGCCTACGTGCGTGCATGAGTGCGTGCATACATGCGTACGCGGATTTGTGGCCGCTTGTTGCGCGTGCCGCGGGTATTTGTTTTGCGATGGCAATTTCTTGAGATAATCGCGATTAAAATTAAAAGAAACTTTATATTCGCGCTACAATTATCCGTGACTTAGCATTGCGTACCTTCGCACGCGTAGACATTGTCATAAAACCATTTCAATTAGTGCCGAATACGTTAATTTATTACGATTGGCAGTACATGCGGACGAATAATTTTATAGAGCACAAAGATTTTGTCTACGATCGAGGCTTATTAAATCAACGAAGGAAAAGTCACGTCCCTTGGCCGCTATTTTGCGCGTCGCAGTGACGAAAAATTACGCCCAAGAGTTCGATTGAAAGGTCACTACCACCCGATATAACGCGATATGACAACGATGTTGGATTTCTCACTCCAATACTGTAAGTCGTTAAATATTAAAATTTCTGCACTTTTGCGTGTTAATAATGAAATCTAAAAGGCGTGGGCTTGGAATATACAAATTATAAGAATTACTAGCCGTTTCCCTTGATTCTAATTCGAAAATTAGACTAGGGGGTCTCGCGTAAAACCAAAAATTCGCAACTCTCTTGAAGATTGACGCAGAATCGCCGAGGTGAGCCGAGAAGCTGGCATCCTTGCAATTTTCCAATTTGTTAAAACAAACGGGTAAAGTTAGATTGCTGCTGCTGCTGCTGCTGCTGCTGCTGCTGCTGCTGCTGCTGCTGCTGCTGCTGCTGCTGCTGCTGCTGCTGCTGCTGCTGCTGCTGCTGCTGCTGCTGCTGCTGCTGCTGCTGCTGCTGCTGCTGCTGCTGCTGCTGCTGCTGCTGCTGCTGCTGCTGCTGCTGCTGCTGCTGCTGCTGCTGCTGCTGCTGCTGCTGCTGCTGCTGCTGCTGCTGCTGCTGCTGCTGCTGCTGCTGCTGCTGCTGCTGCTGCTGCTGCTGCTGCTGCTGCTGCTGCTGCTGCTGCTGCTGCTGCTGCTGCTGCTGCTGCTGCTGCTGCTGCTGCTGCTGCTGCTGCTGCTGCTGCTGCTGCTGCTGCTGCTGCTGCTGCTGCTGCTGCTGCTGCTGCTGCTGCTGCTGCTGCTGCTGCTGCTGCTGCTGCTGCTGCTGCTGCTGCTGCTGCTGCTGCTGCTGCTGCTGCTGCTGCTGCTGCTGCTGCTGCTGCTGCTGCTGCTGCTGCTGCTGCTGCTGCTGCTGCTGCTGCTGCTGCTGCTGCTGCTGCTGTTGATGATGGTAGTGGTCGTGATGATGATAATGGTTTGTCGCGGTGGTATTCGTGATGGTGATTATGGTGGTTGTGGTGGTAGTGACGGTGACGATGTTGGTAATTGTGGTAATCGTGGTGATGGTCATGGTATTGGTGGTGGGAACGGCGGTGCTGCTAGCGATGACGCTATCGCTCATTCTTGTACCGGGCGAACGCCCGGAAGGGACCAATTCGAGTTCAGCACCGGGCGGCGATAAACAGGCTCGCAGACACCTCCTACGAGGTCTGTCCCGTTCAGGTTCACCAGGCCCCCGTCCACACCGAAATGTCGTTTACGTAATCCGCTAGTATGGTGCTCGACAGCTATGTACACGGGCGGGCGCAATCCGGCGCCCCTCCCGTCGTCCATCCAATTGCACTTTGTTTAATAACTAGGTTCGACAAGCAGCCTCGGCTACGAGGACGGCTCGGAGGTCGAGTCGGGCTGCGTCCCCGCCCTCTCCTCGTCCAGCGAGCGAGAGTTGCCCGGACCCCGGCGCCTGCCGGGCGGCTCATCCTCGGCCGGCTCGGTCTCGACCCTCGTTTCCGAGGCCCCGTCCGGGAGGCTGTTGGACGCGCGCCGCTGCTCCTGTCACGGGCTCCCGCCACCGGCTTCCGCGAGGCCCGGGCTCGCGCGCGGCCTCTTATCCTGCAGCCCGTTCACCATGTTCTCGATGGACTTGAGCTCGCCAGTGGCGCTCGCGACGACGCTCGCTGCCGCGGGACTCGGCGAGCCCGTCGGTGGCCTCGGGGGCGGTGATCTGGGGCTCAGGGTGCCTCGACTACCGGGCGTCACCGTCTCGAAGGCCGAGCCGTGAGAGGGCGCGTGCGGCGGCAGCGCGTACGGGGCGAACCTGTGGCCCTTGAGTTGGTGTAGTGGACTCGCGAGAGGATGGGGGTAGTGGGCGAAGAGCGCCGGGTGCTGGGAGGCCGCGAGGGCCAGTTGGGCGTTGAAGAGCATGCCCGGGGTGACGCCCCCGTGTAGGCCCAGAGGATTAGGCGGGATGAGGTGGCCGGGACCGGGATAGAGCCCCGGCACCGGTGGATAGAGGTAGGGGAGGAGCGGCGGGTGAAGGGGCGGCCCGACCGAGACGTCGGGTCGGGGTCCGTCGGAGGCGCCGTGGTGGCCGGTTGAGCCGAGGCCACCGGTACCGCCGCTCTCCGAGCCGGAAGATTCGCTTCCGTCGCCCCGATCGCTCAAGGTACCCCGATCCTCGCGGTCGCGCGAGCGCGAGCGCTGATGCGCCGGATGCGGCGTGTCGGGCCCAACGACGTCCAGGAGCTTGTCCTCGTCGTCGAGGTAGTCGATGCCGGAGCTGGAGGAGCGCCTCTTGTCCGGTGAGCCGGGGCCTCCGTGGCCGCCGCTCCCGCTGAGCCGGGAACCTCCACCCGAGACTGTCAGTAGTGCCTGTCTGCTGAAACAGATGAGAGTGATGGGATTAGTAGGTGCTGCTCGCGGATATTGTAATGACGATTGAGTTACTTGAAATAGCCGCTTGGCTCGCACGTTCGTGCAATTGCAAGTGTTTATTGTTGCAGTTGTTGTTGTTGTTTGAAGGTGAGTGGGGATAGGCTTGAAGGGGAAGTGCTAGTTCGCGATTCGTTTTGCTTTATTCGCTACTGGAAGTAGACGGTCATAAGCCTCACTTTCCAAAAAGTCAGACCTTCGACGCTTGTTATCGCGATTAATTATACGTGATTATTCGATTGTGCTACTACATGTACTACGTGGAATGTAAATTTACCTCGAGCATTGTAAGTGTATCATAAACGTAATTCGAGTAGTGATATGAAAGTTTTATGTAGTCATTAAATGAATAAAGCGATTCGTTTTAACGTTTCGTTACAGTTGGTAAAGTGGAATGGGTCGGGCGGTGGGGTGGTGGAGCTCCCTTTTTTCGCCTCTTTTTTCGCCAACCACGAGTTAAGTAAAATTTTATTGCAAAATTCAACATTCGCGTACTTTTCGAAACAATAATTGTGTAAGATTGCATATACTTTTTTTTTAAGCATGTGGTAGGCTAAAAGCCTATATAATACTCATAATCAATAATACAAGAGGGCATAAGCAGATAAAGCTATCTATATACATTATGTATTGGCGATGCAGTAACTTCGTTTTTATTAACAATTATTAATTTATAAGAAGTACATTAGCGAGTCTCGATGGAATAAATATTTATGGAATGTAGTTACGTCGTAGAGTCTAATTGCGTAATTATTCCATTAAAATGTAAACGGTATGGAGTAAAGTTTTCATCGTCGAGCCGAATAAGTAATGTATGCGTAAGGCCATCGTCGACCCATCAATTTTGATAAATAAAAAAATATATATTGGCAAGTTCAATTAATAAAAATATCCTGTAATAAATAAATGTATGATAAAGCGTGTAATGATAAGCGTGCAACAGCAATAGAAAATTAGAGCAAATGTTTGATGTGCGTATTGTTGACATATGTCGCTTTGTTAGTGTAGGGTTAGTGTGTAGTCGCGTTGTACTTAGCCGGCGCAACCTCACCGATATTCGATATTTACGATAAATATGAGGATCGTGGTGTCGATGACAGATAATTGGATAAAATTTACAAAAATGATAAAGCAGCCAAAGGATTTCATCAATCATGAGATAAATGCCATAGGCTGCACAATTAGAAATATTCGAAATTTCTTAAGACATTCTTACGAACGACTGAAAAATTTTCGTGACGAGTAGCGTTAAGGTTGAGGCATCTCTTCCGTCTCGTGGTGTAATATGTAACAGCGCTAATTAAATTTCTCTCGTAGCCTTCCGTCAATGGCTGAGAGACGAGTTGAAAGGGCCTTGGAGTCGCGCAAGATCCGTAAGCATTTAAAAGACGAATTATCTAAGTAGAAGCGGTGTGAGCACCTCGTTGACCCCGACTTTCCCCGACGAATCGTTCGTGGCAGCCGACCCCCATCCTCAATATGCAACGAGTAGGTCGTGGAAGCCCGGCCACGGCATCCGTATAACGTACTTTGCGCCTACTACGTGTCACCAATTGACGGAACGTGTACTGACAATCCAATTTCCCGCGTGAATCCTCTCAAGACGGGAGAGAGTGTGTATGAGAGAGAGAGAGAGAGAGAGAGAGAGAGAGAGCAGACGAAGAGAGACACAGAGGAGCGCAAGAATGCCCGCCGCCAAAAAAACAAAAAAAGAAGAGGCACGCACTCCGAGAGAGATAGAGAGAGAGAGAGAGAGAGAGTATGAGAGTTTGCGAACCAGACATTTAAAGCCCTTGTGTGCACGTGTCCAAACGAATTCCAGTGCCTTGTCACGATTTTACTTCTTATACGAACGGCTTCGCTGTGTCGAATATGGATAGTTAGATTTTAACGAAAACATCCGTGAAGGTCATTCGCATCAATTTCTGTCGCTAATTTGGAACTTTAAGAATAGACCAACGACTCCGAAAAGATAGCGCTATCTCGTTCCAACTGTATTGCGCGTCATTGAACGAGCCAATTTCCCGCGGGATTTTACACATTTTTATTAACGGATCAATTAATATTGATGGACCGCAACGTAGACATTATCCAAGAAAATATGCATATTTATCAAATTTCTAAATAATGGTCGCGCTTGCGGCAACTTTCTTTTCACAATGACTTTTAGAGTCTAATTGCTTAGTGAAATACATTTTAATAAGATCCCAAAACCGAAACAAAACACAAAAACCCAAAAAAAAAATTACACATCAGAAAGTAAAAAAAAATTGATGTTTCCGACAATATAATAAGAATAAACGCTCAAGATTTTAAAATTCAATAGTAAAAATAACTCTCGTAGGCCATTAAAATTGTCATAAAATAAAATGGCTAAATTTACCGATAGCGAAATTGAGTTGAACGAAATTATAATAGTTTTCGAGTGCTTATTGTTTAAAGGTAATAAAATATTAAGAAAATCCAATTTACAAGTAAATTTGCATATTATCCATTATTACCGACTTTTCAAAATGCCAATACGTTTGAAGGAGTAAAAACCATATACTTTCGAATGAGAGGCATTATTAATACGTCGAATATTTATATACAACAACAACGAAATTAAAATAAATAATATTTTTATCTCTGCTATTTTATGTACAAATGTTTTATAGTTGTAATAACCGTGTCGGTCGCTCGCTCTCCTACCATTAACTTTCGACAAACATTTTGACATTTTATATATCGTAATTTAGAGCTTCATTACGCGTTTGGACAATTAAAAATGTTACGCATGAAAGGGAGAAGGAGGCGAAAAATTAAAATGAAAGAAGTAATCGACTCTGACACTTTTGGAATATCCGATTGTCAAATAATTCAATAATTCGGCTGCTTTATTATTTTTTCTTTTTCAGTACCTTCGATAAGACGAATACCACTCATTTTGCAAATCGAACTATTGATTTTACGCCTTCAGCTACCTTCACGAAACCATGAGAGCAAAACGTGCAATCATACGTTGCCACATACCGAACAAAATACCGAGTTTTTTTTTTTTTTTTAACGATAAATTAATACAATCCCATATGAAAGCAAATATTCGAACAGAGGATCACTAGGTTATTTTACTTAATTATTATATTGACAGAGCAACATTTACAAGCATTTAATACTACAAAGAATATTCGTCACACTCGTCATTGTCATATTCAAACATTAACCATTCACAAAACATTTATGATGAAATGACGAATTAGCATCTGAAAAAAATGTATTGTACGAATTAAATAAACACGAAGATGAAAACTCAAACCTTACAAATGCTCGACCAATGGAACGTAAAATATTGCGTTTACTTGTAAAAATATAAATATACGCATAATACAATTTCTCATCTTTAACTACATACATAATCCATTTAAATTCTATACTCATAATATCCCAAAACTATGCAAAATATTCCCCCGTGTCTTTGCCGAGCGTCGAGCAACGCGTGGGTTGAAACTCCAGACGGCTTAAAAAAAACTTTGAAGAGGCTCGATAGAAATTTACAAGTAAATATCATTGGAAGTTCATTGTAATCCCCGCGGGCATTGCCGCCTATCGAATATTACCTTACTAAAATCATATATTAACAATCGACGATTCAAACAGATCACGCGCGCCTGTCATAATACTCGCTAATACATCGGGCCCCAACAATACGTTGCAGACTCCGAAGCTGGAGCTTTGCGTCTCTTCTCGAGCGCCCAAAGGATACAACACAACACGTGCATCAACGATGTCAAAGTCTCGTTCATCTCGCGATACGCCGCTTTCCTTCCTAACTAAGCCTCTTGTAAGCTCGTAGTAGCACTCGCACCTCCACGGCGTCGCGACGGCGTCGAGCGGCGCTAAGCGCTCACTAAAGCCCGTGTAATACGATCAGAGCGCACCGACACAACACGACCAACACGAGACGAATGGCAGACGAGCGTGCGAGCGAAAGCTATATATATATATATATATATATATACAAAGAGATAGATAGATAGAGATAGATGTAGATGTAGATGTAGATGTAGATAGAGAGAGAGAGAGAGAGAGAGAGAGAGAGCGAGAGAGAGAGAACGCCGGCAAATGCGGTTAATCGATAGTGCACTGAAAGTCTGCGTGATTCTTGCACCGGGGGCACGACGCCGAGAGACTGCTTTTTCACCAACTTCTGCAACCTCCATTCCGTGTTTTTCGACGTATTCGAGGAAAGCTGGAGAGACTCGAAAGACGGGCTGCTTTTTGCAAGATGCGAATTTCGGGATGCCTACTTCCTTGCGTATTTCTACTGGAGCTGCTTTTCAAACGCGATCAATGCAACTACATGCCTGGCAAATTGGGAATTTTGTTAAAGAGGAGCGACGGGAGGGCCAGAGACAATTGCCGAACAAAGATTTCAAATATATTCATGGAATAGTGTAAAAGTTACTGGCCCCGACGTTGATTAATGGCCACTCGAGGTCAAACGATACACCGACGCGTTAGTTCATCGAAATACATTTCCCCGCGCCGCTTTGGTAATTTAGTCCGCTGAATGCGTATCTCGCAAGGCATTTCCATCTATTTTCCAAGCGAAGACGTCGCGTGCATTATCATGCCCATTATAACGAAAGATCTTTCGCTCCGTAATTTCCGCTCGCGCTATTAAACATGAGGATAATACGCTCCCGGAAGAGTGATAAGTCTCGGTGGCTCGCTAAGTCCGAGTAAATTAAATTACATATGAATGGCCGTGTAAAAGTAAACGAAATCACATGTGACAGAACGGTGCGAATGATTATTCGAATTCGCGAGGAATAAACGTAAATTGCACATTGTGTTGATATTACAGGAATTAACGCGATTCTACAATGAAATGTTATCGCCGATAATAAGTTGTGATGGAAGGAAGTAGCGCTTACAATGACGACAATGTCACAACATTGGCCGCGCTATCCTGAAATTTAAAAGTCAAAGGTAATTACGAGGCGGACACGGGGGTAAAGCTCGAATGTAAAATACAAAAATCAAGGTCGAAACTACAAAAGCAGACTTAATATTTGCAAAAATATACCGCGATCTATCGGCGCACCGTACGCCAACGTCCCAATGAAGCGCACACTGGGAGACGGCAATGAGTAAAATAGATAGAGATAGAGATAGAGATAAAGATAGATAGATAGATAGATAGATAGATAGATAGATAGATAGATAGATAGATAGATAGATAGATAGATAGATAGATAGATAGATAGATAGATAGATAGATAGATAGATAGATAGATAGATAGATAGATAGATAGATAGATAGATAGATAGATAGATAGATAGAGAGAGAGAGATAGATTGAGAGAGATAGTTAGAGAGAGAGAGATAGTTAGAGATAGATTGAGAGAATATGGGAAGGGGAGAGCTAATCGAGAAAATATGTAAAGCAGGACGCATCGGAGTTACGATTCCTAATTAGAATAAGGGTTAGTTTTGGCTTATGGTCTCGGTTAGCCTCGGTCGCTCTCCTCCGGGTGCGAACGAAAGAGTCGAGAGGAACCGACGTAACAAAGGGGTTACGGGGTTGGAACACGGCCAATCATCGGATTAGCATAGCGATGCTCCTCGGGGGTGGACCCTCACAGTCGCCACTGCCACCATAAACGTGCTCGCTCGCGCGGCCGGGGAGCATTGAATTTTATATTAAGCTGCGGACGCATAATAAAGACCTGCCATGTTGCGGCCTCTCAGCCATTCGCCTCAAGGATCGCGACGGCTTCCACGAGCGAGCCACCCTCTCGAGGTTGACAAAAAATCGTCCGACCGATCGATAAATTCGTGCCCGCTGATTTTCATCTGGCTGGCCCTTAAGGGAGTCGGGGGCACACAATATCTCGGTGATACGCCGCCGACTTGGCTCGACGCGACTTTCAATTACTTTGTCCAAAGTCATTTCCCCTCCCTCCCCATGCCCCGGCGCATTTTCCAACTGATTTATTTTATAAGCGCTTACTAACCCGATCGTATTGGATCGCTTCTACGAGATTACCTTGGCCTCCAAGTGCCCATTCCCACATGAAACTTATATTTGACATCGACGGTCCTCTCGCCTGCATCACGTACTTATGAAACGTACGAATCCAATAAAAAGTCCATAAAGTGATCGCGCTGTTCGAGCGCGCAATACAAAAGCCTTCAATTTTATGATTAATCCGTACTAGCAGCCAATGCCCTCGCTCCCTCCTCCCCACCCACCCCCCCCACCGCCACCACCACCACCCTCAAAAGTTAAGTAATATTAGTCTTTAATTGTAGAATGAGCGTCCAATGCCGTCGCATCGTCTTTCATATCCACGTTCGATGACGCGTCTTATTCGTTTGATTATTAAGTCATAAGGAAGCAGCGTTTATCGCTCGCCAAAATGCCTTATTATCGACTGCCTCAAGGGCTGTGTCGATAGTGACGAGCAGAAGGAGGTTTGAGGAGGGGGAAGAGGAGGAGGTGGCGATGGCAATAGTGGAAGTGGAAGTGGTAGGGAACAGAGGAGTTCATTCTCTTTGACGCGCATCATCCAACCGCGTGAGTTTCAACGCGACGGAATCCCGCGCGCTTCGAGGATTAATCATCAAAGGCCAAGAAATACGTTTTGCGTCCGTGAATGAGCCAGCAGAACAAAGAGAGAGAGAGAGAGAGAGAGAGAGAGAGAGATTTTCCTCCTCTGTGCTGACGATTGTGCCTCCAGAATCATCGTCTCGTCGTTTGGAAATTCCGTGTCGCGTCACGCCTCGGTAGCTCTCCTATGGCCGATTGTCCGATTGGAGCGGCCCCACATCTTCCCCACCCCTCCTCACCCATCAGTCCGAGAAGAGAGTGCCGCGGTGAATAAATAATCCGAGGTTGATCGTGTCGTAAGAGTGGCGTATAAATGAGCCAAGTCCGTTAATGAAGGCGAAGACGCGCGTCGGGAAGGTAAGACGAGGCTCGACTCGCGCGAAGCTTCATTTTCAAAGCGATTCGCGGTTCGCGGTGCGCCTACGGGGGCATGGCGGCTGGGGGGAGGGGGGAGGGGGCGGATGCGAGAGGATGAGGCAAAAAGTAGCCGTAGCCGCCGAGGAGCTGGAATCTCAAATAAAGCAACGTGGCTCGGAGCCGTCAGAACCGTTCGACGAAAACTGTCGTCTCAAAAGTAAAGGCAAAACTTAATTAGCCGAAATGAAGCGAACAAGGTATCGCCTCGATCCCTCGAAAGCCAAACGACAGATCGAATCAGCATCAGGCGACCGAAGGGCCCGTGGTAGGAGGCGAATGACGAGTGGGGAGGGGGGGTGGGGGAGCCTTATCGAGGCCCAATCGGTCCTCGGCGAGTTCACCATCGGCTATTCACGCAGTCAAATGATGCGTGAAATACCGCTACGCGCAGCGTATTGAATTTCTTCGTGTCGCGCGGCGAGCTTTTTGCTAGGTATGCCAGGTCGGAGGAGCTCTCGATCTCGAGCTCCGACGTCGGACGATGTTTGTAGGGGATACGAGCCGAGGACCAAGACGTGGCCAACGCGACATCAGCCTCGGATCTCGCGCGAGTAAGCACAATTAGCACCTGCAATGGGGTACGACGTACTTGCGCCCGACCCACCGAGTCCCATCGTCTCCCATCCGATGGGATCCCATCTATTTGCCTCGCAACGCCCACAACACTCTGCTTTTATTGGCTAATTCGGCGAGCGAGGGCTAATCTAACGCAACGTACATTCGTTCCACGATATAAATAATTGCCCGGCGGGATTACCTATTCCCATAGTATGAGTCAACGACGACGGGGCGGAATCTTATGGCACGTTATCCCCAAGGGACTTTGGTGGGAGTATAGAACGAAAAAGGTAAATGGAAATGTCAGTTGAGGTTGATTTTACGAGTATTGATACACGTGGCGACAGCGGCATTCGTTGTCCCATTCCCGAATGCAACACGAATAAGCTCGTGAACGATATTCTTTGATGTCCCGTCTTCCTAATCATCGGCTTAACCGTCATAGTCGTCGGACGAGTCCTGATAAATTTATCCACCAAAATCTGGAGTTTATTCGGCGAGAGCGCCGGAAGCTCTTTAAATCGAATAAGCGGCCGTCCCTCTTTCTCGCGCCCATTGTCCGTGGCATGATTAGCGAAGCGCCAAGCGACTGCCCACCCGAGGCCGAAATTCCGCGGGATGATAGTTAGGCGCGTCAGCATCCGGCACTCGAGGCAGCTCATCAGCGGAAGTGCGTACAGCCGATATTTCATGCATACGTAACGTAACGTCATCACGATCCACTCGAGCATCTCGGAAAGCGCGTTGCGAGAGCCCTATCCCATTACGGTCCCCCGCCGATGAAATTGAAATGACGGGCTCGACCCCATTGGCGCCTGGTCGAGGGTGAGGAAGGGCGACCTCCCTCGTATCTCTCTTTGCGGTGGTGCGCATAAGCTCGTAAACTCCGCAATATTGAATAGAAATGAAGCCGTCGTCGTCGTCGCCGCCGCCGCCTCCGTCGCTACCATCACCGCCACCACCACACCAACGCTACTGCAGCTGGCGCTGCTGCTGCTACTGCTGCTGCTGCCATCGTATGCAACCTCTCCCATCCTCCCCGGGATGCTAATGAGTCGCCACGTGTGCATTCGGAGATTTTATGCACGAGGGCGGGAGGCTGGTAACTGCTGTAATGAGGGCCGTAGAGCCGAGTCGAGCCGATTTCTTGAAGAGGATTTATTACTCAAGCCCGGCTCGAGTGCGAGGGCACTGGGTCAATTTTGGCGCTGCTAAATACGCCGAGGAAGTGAGGAGGAAGTAACGAGGAAGTGCCGATGCGAGAAAGCCGTCAATGTCATTGGTGATTTAGCGAACGAGGAGAGGTATTGAGGCATTGATTAATAAATTATATTCAAAAGCGGTACTCACTTTTTTTCGCGCTTCCCCGCGCCTGTATCCCGGAATCCTTTAGCGAACGGATTGTTGTCGATTTTCAGCTGCGTTATCTGCAAAGAGAAAAGCAATTATAAACGCCATTATTTTTAAATAATCGTCGTCGTCGTCGTCGTCGTCGTCGTCGTCGTCTTAATGTAAATACGCCGAGGGTACTCAATGTGGCAACGCGTGTAGTATCGACGCGAAGGAAACTCATTGGGCAAAGTATTGGAAAATTGTGTCGTAACGGGTTGACTGGTTAATTGTAGTGGTGGCTTACGCTACATATCCACCTCCTTGCCATAAGCGTTCGATTAAGGAACGCACGGATTGACAGCCATCCGCGATAATCGTGTCCTTTACAACTGACATTATTTTCGAGCGCAATTAATAAAGTGGCATGGGAGGCTCGAGGGCGTCGGTTCATCGTATGCAAAGTAACGCCGGCGATCGATAAAAGAAGAGAGGTACAGGCGAATTAAAATCCATAAATCCATCGACTATAAACGTAAGGAGGAGCGGAGCCGGCCTGGGCAAATGATCAAAATGAAGGAGGACGGAAGCACGACCTCGGCTAGCGACAAAGAAATGTCTCGCGCTCGATTCCGTGGCCGCGATCGACGATCTCTTAAAGCCCATTAACTGCTCGCGCGTCTTTGCGAACGGTGGAGGGGAAGGGAAGGGGCACGCGAGCCCGACAAAGCTCCATTCACTTCGGCTCTCTCTCTCTCTCTCTCTCTCTCTTTATGTCCGCGCGCTTACTGGCGATGGCAGGGCCCAAGGTCGCCGTATATCCCCGAGATAAGCTTTCAATTATTCACTCGCCCGATAAATCGCCGCGCTCATTCACTCGAACTCGCGCGCATATATATATATATATATATATATATATATATATATATATATATAGATAGATAGATAGATTTCCATTCATTCGTCCATTCGATTCGCGGGGGCATTGAATCGCGCGTCCCTCGCGCGGTCCATGATTTTTCCGAGCGCCAACGGAATCATTGCATGAAGGGCTTGAGAGAGACGACAATACGAACATAGCGGTAGGGTCGAGAGGGAACGGGAGCGCGAGGGGACGAGCGAGGAGAGGTGGGAGGGGTAGTATACATACGAGTTTTTTTTTTTTTTTTAAAGGGGGGGGGGGGGGGGGGGGGGGGGGGGGGGGGGGGGGGGGGGGGGGGAGATCGGACAGAGCGCGGCCTTGTTTCAAAGATTCCCCCATTGGACTTTATCTAAATGGAGTTGATGCTTGATTCGAGCGCAGCATCACTTACGGCCGCTGGTATTTCAGAGTCGCGTTGAGGAAGAAAAAAATGAAGGATCGGGATACAAATGTACCTTTTGTTGGTTTATTTTTCTTATTTATCGAG